AACAGAGCAGTATAACACACATTTATAGGCATCAAAATCACGTTTTAATAATTTACTCTAAATTATTGAGATTTGGTGCATTCTATCCAAATCAGCATACTACGGTATTCTTTAAAGTGTTGCCACTCTAATAACTGTTTAATTGATCTATTGAAGTAGGATCGTCTACAAATATTGATCTACAATTTAGTGAACCTTATTTAAATATAAGGTAACAAATTAAAATTTCTGACTAGTAATCCGAAACAGGAAACATTGTTGACTACTTTTTTTTTGTTCTTCCTTTTCTGATCGGAACTTTAAATCCATACATGTGTGCCTTGGACATCTACGGAGATTCTCAGTCATCACGGTTGTCCCAAAGGTACCTTTTCAGGAGGCAACTGGACTTTGTTTTTCCTTGAAGATGCTTTGCTTCTCATCCAAGAAGCTTCTTCAGTTCTGACTGGGTGGTGGGGAATGGAAGCATTTATATTCCTTGCAGACAGCTGGTCATTTGCATTCTTTTAGAGAACGCAGATAAACCTCAAGTGGCCTCAAGGACTCTCTAAAAGGATGCAAATGACCATCTGTCTTCAAGGAATATAAATCTTTCCATTCCCCATCATCCAGTCAGAGCTGAAGAAGCTTCTTGGATGAGAAGCGAAACATCTTCAAAAGAAAAAACAACAAAGTCCAGGCACTTCCTGGGAAAAATAAGACCTTTTTCAGGACAGTCTTTTTTTACTCTATTTTATAATCATAGCCGTTCTGCAAACAAAAACAGACCAATATTGTCCAGTAAGGATCATAGCTGATTCGGAGTTTTTCCTTTCTAATTCAAATTCTATCTGCATCACTACGCAGAGCCTCTCCAAATGTTAAAATTCAATTTTTGATTTAAGCTCAAAACCATGAGTATTATACGAGGCTCACATGCAGCAAGACTAAAGTAATTAAGTTAAGTGGAGCTGACTGATTTATAAAGAATCCATTTTTCCGTGTTAAAACAAGGGAATCTCTTTTACAACTGATCGCCATGCATGCAAGAAGGCAGTTGGTTTGTAATTCATTTTAAGGCTGACACAGAAAAGGAAGCCATTGACTTTAATCATTTGGACTGAGGGCCCAAACATAACTTTGTCCTTATCATGTTCTAAATCAGGGGTCCCCAACCACCAGTCCCTGGACCGGTACCAGTCCGTGGATCATGTTTTACCGGGCCGGAAAGCTTGGGCGCCATCTTATTTCGACAGCGCTTCCGGGTTTTCGGTTGCTTCTGGGTTTGGGGTTGGAAAGTGCTTCCGGTTTTTCAGTTGGAAAGCGGTGTTTGGGTGCTCGTGCCTTAGTTTCATCAAAGGGGGGGCGGTTTCGAACAAAGAGCCGTCCCGATGGTGATGGAGTCTCACGTTACTCAGGTACCGGTCCGTGGAAGAATAAATAATTGTGAAACCGGTCCCTCGTTCGAAAAAGGTTGGGGGCCACTGTTCTAGATGACAGAAGCCCTGGACTTTGGCTATAGAATATAGAATAACAGAGTTGGAAGGGACCTTGGAGGTCGTCTAGTCCAACCCCCTGCTTAGGCAGGAAACCCTATATATCCTTTCAGACAATGGGTTATCCAATCTCTTCTTAAAAACTTCCAGTGTTGGAGAATTCACAACTTCTGGAGGAAAGCCGTTTCACTGATTAATTGTTCTAACTGTCAGGAAATCTCTCCTTAGTTCTAAGTTGCTTCTCTGCTTGATTAGTTTCCACCCATTGTTTCTTGTCCTACCCTCAAGTGCTCTGGAGAATAGATTGACCCCTTCGTCTTTGTGGCAGGTCCTCAAAATATTGGAACATTGCTATCATGTCACTTCTAGGCCTTCTTTTCGTTAAACTAGACACGCCCAATTCCAGCAACCGTACTTTATAATATTGGAGGAAAAGATAATATTTATACATTAACTTTTCCTCCAAAGTGAATATACATGACAGTGAAACAAATAATTGTGCCCGCTTTTGAGGGTGGGACTGTATCAGGCATGAAGAACCGGGACCACACATAAACTTCCAGTTAGGATGATCTATTCCTCAAGAATCTTATCAACTAACAGTCAGAATTAAAATGAAGCTAGATAAAAGTCAACAGAATTTAAAAGGGGCTGGACAGATATTTGTGGGAACGTAATGATTCTTGGCTCATTCTTGTCTTGACTCTGCCCCAGGGTAGGATATACACAACCTTCGTGTCAGTAGGATTTGACACTATTTCACTGGCATAGAATAGCATTTTAAGATTCTATAGCCTGGAGCAATTTATATAAAGTTATAAATATCAGTAACTGGCTCTTTGGAAGTCTGCTTCAATCTACTGGGCCACAAAACATGATGGCTTGAGACAAATTCAGCTCTCCTCTCCCCAGGTGACCAAACACAGCCATACTTCTGCATAATTGGAATAGACTACAAAATACTCATTTCCATATCTCCTGATGTTTTAGTGCTGTGAAGTGTTCGTTAACCAAAGATATACCACTTTCACGGAGATATGTTTGTAAGTATTTAATTAAGACATCATGAATTTACGTTCTCATTGAACACAGGCCAAACTCTGCCTGAGGAATTCGCATCGCTGGTGGAATTCCCAAAAAACATTTAACGGGTTTTGTATACTTTTCACAATTACGATAAAATGATGGTTTCAGTTCAAGAAATAAACTCCATGCAGCGACCGAAATAAAACCTTGCCCTGATAGAATTATTTTAATGGATCAACAAGCTGTCTCCCTTTTAATGGGATAGCAGCATTTACATTACTCGGACGAGTCTCTGTTTCATCCAACGATCTAATTTTCAATCCCTGGAATGATGGCAATAATTTAATCAGACCTTTGTGTGAACTGGCCTTCTCTCTAGCTGATCGTTCAAAAACTGTGTTTCTAAATTCAGAAAAGACATGCATCTCGGAAGGTCTTACAATATTTTTTTTTCTGTTTAAAAAAAAAGGAAAGAGAACATTAAGTGGCAATAAGATATTGAGAGATATGAACACAGACGATGAGCGGTAGGGAATGTCATTGACTTACCTGTGGTGCCAGTAAAGGGAGTCTAATGTATGCTAGGAGTGTACTAAGATCTTCCTTTCGTTGTTCCAAATCGTGTTGCACCCAGGTGAGCAACGCATTGAGAATAGTCTCTTCACTAGGAATGTTCATATCATCACTGGCTAATAACTTTGCAATTTCAGTGGCCGGTAAGAGGAGGAATTCTTGATTTCTAATTACTTCCATGAAGTGCTCCTAAAAATGATGAGAAGTGTAAATAAAACCACGTGTACATGAAACGGAGGGAAAACCTGGACACAAATCCACATATTATCCATTTGATTTTTCAGTCGTCTTTCTCGATCACCGGTATTATGAAGGAAATTCCAATTAGCACTCAAGTTACCCACTGAAATAAAATTCATGGTCGAAAATCAATTAAAAAAATAAAGAAATAAAATTCACTGGGGAAAAAATTGATCTGTAAAATGTTTTTCCAAGCCTAAATATTTCATCAAGAAAAGATGATACAAACTGCACAGCATTCAAAATATTTATTTGCATTCTCTCCTGTATGATTGCATTCTCTTCGGTAAATAAATATTTACTGAATATTTACTGAAACTGGGGAAAGGCAAAGTCTGGCTGGGCAGAGCAGGGGAGAGGTGGAATAAGGGAGAGGAAATTCAGAGGAAGACCCAGGCCCACTTCATCCTAGGGCACGCAGGGAGGAACAGAGAAGAGAGCAACGTGGGTTGCGTGGGTTGCAGGGGAGGAAAGGGCCCTGATTCCCTTCATTAGGCACACCTGGGAAGAGAGTTTAATAGAGATGCATGCTGAGTGCGGCGTCTTCTGGGAACAAACATGAGTTTATCTTGTGCTGACTTTGCTTATCTGTGTCCCTGGAGTCTTCCGTGTTGAGTGTCTGGAATTCTTGCTCCTGCCCTGCCAAACTAATTACCTCATCTTGCCTTGATTGGATTTATACTTACAGTTTTTGTTGACAACGTTTTGGACTTGAATCTCTGCAGCCAAAGGCTGTTCCTGGGAGAGTTTTTCTCCAGCCCAGAAGGTAACCAGGACATTGGGAGCAAAGTTGGAGCAAATAAGGGATTCCTACTTACTATTCCTGGTGTTGAGTAAGCAGGGGCATTCAATGCAGGTAGTCCTCGACTTACAACAGTTCATTTAGTGACTGTTCAAAGTTACAATGGCGCTGAAAAAAAGTGACTTATGACAACCTTTGAGCATCCCCATGGTCACATGATCAAAATTCAGCTGCAGTGATTAACTTAATAACCGAGGCAAGAAAGGTCATAAAAAGGAGCAAAATTCATTCAACAAAGGTCTCACTTAACAACAGAAATCTTGAGTTCAGTTGTGGTCATAAGGGAAGGACTACCTATAGTGGCTTAAGATCTACTGAACCCACATTGCAAAAACAAGTGCAAAATGGCTGCTCCTTTAAATTTTTTGATTTCAAGTAGCTTTTAAGCAAATGAAATTAGTAGGGATTTACTCTAATTGAAGGTTCAATTGGCCTACACATTTCTGTACTGTTTCCATGGCAACGTATATTTCTAGCCAAAGGAAGTGCTTCTAGGGTGCTTCTTATTACTAAAATTCAATTTCATGTCTCCTTTGGAATTAAACTTTTTTTTTTCTTAAACGGTCCTGGGAAGAATTGATGTAGCACAACTAATTACTCTGAAAAATCACTTTTAAAAAACCATCTTCATTTAAATTTTATTCAACCCAAACTGTTAAAGGCTAGAAGAGTTGTCTCTGGCTTTGTTTTATCCCCCCACCCCCCAATGCCAATAGCCTTGAAAGAGTAATTTCCATGGCTTTAGCCTTAGGGGAAATGCTATAATACATCTCAATAAATTAATAAACGAGAAGAGAAAGTATCAGCGATAACAAGGAATAACAAAATAATGTATCAGAAATCACCAGGAAGGAGTAGTTCAAGTATCAAAATTCTTAGGGGATATTTTTTTAGTAATATACAAGTAGTCCTTGACTTAAAAATTATCCCTTTAGTGACTATTCAAAGTTATAATAGAGCTCTTAGTTTGTCTCAAATACTATTGAATATGTCATCATGTTTAATTTCTTGGAATCTGTATAGATTTAAGTGCTCTTCCTAGCCATATCTCAGACACATACCCTTAGTAACTGTACAGCCTTCATATTATACAGGCAGTCCTTGACTTACAACTGCCAGTTGAGCCCAGAGTTTATGTTGCTGAGCGAGAAATGAGTTTTGTCCCATTTTACGGCTTTTCTTGGCCCAGTCATTAAGTGAATCACTGCAGTTGATAAATTCATAACCCGGTTGTTAAGTGAATCTGACTTTCCGGTTGACTTTGCTTGTCAGAAGGTCGTGAAAATGGGTCATGAGAAATCACCACCCTCCCGGGACAGTTAGTGCAACCATCATAAAAGTGAGTCAGTTATCAATCTGAATGTAAATCACATAACCATGGGGAAACTGCAACGGTCGTAAGTGTGAAAAACAGTCATGAGTCATGTTTTTCAGTGCTGTTGTAACTTTGAATGGTCACTAAATGAACTGTTGTAAAATGGCTACCTGTACCTGGGTGGCGGGGAATGAGCTGAAGTAAAAAACAGCAGCTTGCCTAGTGTTAAGTCAAAGGCGGGGGGGGGGGGGGGAGATCTAATTATTGTCTTCCAGGCTTCAACACTCTTTGAAAATAAAAATCTTAACAAACACATCTAGGATAATGGTGACAATGACAATGATATTATGGAATGATGTATGGAATTTGATTGACACAAAAATAATATTGTAAAGTATTGCATGAGATAATGAAAGTGTCAGGATTCCAGCAGTTACCCCCAATTAAATCATGAGTCTCGAGCCAAACTTCCAAAATGATTTATTGGGAGTTAACATGTCCGGCACTGCCTGGGTATACCCGACTCTGAGGCACATCATTCATTGTCACCCTTGACCCTGGTTTTCCCTCCACCCCTGGGTGTATCATAATTCATATTCTCCAATGGGACACATCCATAGTCAAGAGTCATCAATCATGCTCTCCAGTTAGAGTTTTGTGCGGCAGAAACTTCAGTCACCTAGTTACTATCTTTGAAAAACTATTTATGGAATGCACTTTCAATTTCCAAACTGCCACACTGCTTTTCCAAACCCCTTTCCCCCCTCCCCTGTCTGTTGGCAATTCTAAAAAGTCCATAGAAATATTTTATGAGTTGACAGAAAGGATATCATTTAATAAAAATAATTGTATTATTAGAATTGCACAACTTGTTTAAACTCCTATTGTATTTGTATCAAAATGTGACTAGAAAGGGTATTTTTTAAAAAAATATAATAGTGGCATATTTACAAATTAAAAAGGGCATAAACAATTATAATTTAATATAAATTTGTGAATTGTTATTAGAACTATATAATCTGGTAAATGCTGCAAATATGATTATTAATATGTAATTGGTAGTAAAAGGAGTGAGATTAAGAATATAGAGATTGACACAAAAATAACATATTATAATATTGAATAAACAAGATTGATAATTTAACAAAATATATGTAATAATATCAAATTTTAAAGGATTGTCAACTATATTAAACAAGAGGAATATTGTCATATTTGTATCAAAATGTAAGACACTTTGTGTAATGCCCCTGTTGGAATCTGATTCTGAGGGAGAGGTGTGACAGGGAGTGGGAGTGTAGCTCTGGTGGCTGTGGAGGAAACTGGGGAAGGGCACAGTCCAGCTGGGCATTCAGAGGAAGACCCAGGCCCACACCCCCTCTTCATCCTAGGGCACAGGAGAAACGGATAAGGGAGCAACGTGAATTACGGGGGAAGAAAAGGGCCCTGATTCCCTTCATTAGCTGCAGCTGGGAAAACAGGATTTAAAAAGGACGTTTGCGCACAGCACCTTGCAGTGAATTATTTTGGTTTGTCAAGCCTTATCTGGGTTCTGGCGTCCTCCCAACTGTGTGTGTTTTGTTATCTTTTGAAGTCTGCAATTCCTTTTCCTGCCCTGTCTCGTTAATTGCTGCAGCGTGGTTTGTGTTGGTTTTATTATAATTTCTATGTACTTTGGGTTCAGACTGAATTTCTTCCCTTTAAAAACTGTTCTTGGGAGAGTTTTTTTTCTCCAGCTGATGATAACCAGACATTGGGGGGCCAAGCTAGATGTACTAAAGGGAGTTTACCTACTTTTGTGACTTCGTTGCGTTTGTGTCACGCCCCTTTGGGTCATCACACTTCAGAACCACACAGTGCACACAACGATATTTTTGTTGTGACAAAAAGATTAAAAAATTATTGCAAAAAAAACAGATATTATGGAATGGTTTTTCAATAAATAAAATGATTTTTTTAAAGAACTGCATACCATGGTGTAATTGTGGGCCACTTTGTGCAAATCTGTGCAACCCTGCGCATCGGCAAAAGAGCGTATTCCAAGGCAATTTGAAGGGTGAAGCTGCTTCATCAAAAACTTGCAGCAAGCTTCTACAACCTGAGACAGCTGAAGAATGCAAGCTGTAGACAACAGGCACTCAATGTTATCTTCTTTTAATTCAAGACGACCTGGAATGGTTTAAAACACAGTTACTACATACAGTATGAGGAGTTGAAAGGCCACATTACCCAATCAAACAACTAGTTATAGTAATAGTAATTGCACTTAAGACTTAGATACCGCTTTATAGTGCTTTACAGCCCTCTCTAAGCAATTTCCAGAGTCAGCATATTGCCCCCAACAATTTTCGGTCCTCATTTTACCCACCTCGGAAGGATGGAAAGCTGAGTCAACCTTGAGCCTGGTGAGATTCGAACTGCCAAATTGCAGGCAGCCAGCAGTCAGCAGAAGTAGCCTGCAGTACTGCACTCTAGACAGCACATTTAGACAAGAATAAAAACAAGAAAAACCCACAGACTCTTCAACTAATTTCCGTATTTTGGAAATCTGCCCTGAGGTTTTATGGAAAACCCAGGATGTGGGAATGCTACATAATAATGCTATAAAGTTGATTCTTGAGACAGTTCTAACAAAAAGCTGATGGAACTGAAGTAAGGATTTGGACAGAGATCTCCAAGAAATGCCACGGATGTCAGACAGATAGGAAACACCAAGAAACTTCTGGAAAAGGGGACAGATGTGTAAAACTTGAACAATGTTTTCATCTAGAATTTGTTCTACTATAATTCTGATGCCTTTTTCAGGTTTAAATAGTACCTTGTCTTGTTTCTCCTCCCCCCGAAAGTGTTTTTTTTTTCCTAAAGAAGTGTTATGTTCCAGAAATTTCAGCAGCCTTTAGCAATTTTGTACCAATAGCTAAAAACATTCAAAAAGTCATTTTAAAAATAAATAAATCACCAAATGACATTTTTCTGTTGTACGTAGCAAGTATGCTTTCTTGAGAAAATCTAATATAATTCAGACAACAATAAACTACTTTAGGAGCATAAACAGTATTTCATATAAAGCATTGTATATATTTCAACCCAACCCACTTCTTTGTATTTCTTTCCTCAGAATGTTATTTCTTTGATTCAGTCTGAAGAGAGTTGTGGACTTCAGCTTCCAGAATTCAGCCAGCCATGCTGGCTGGGGAATTCTGGGAGTTGAAGTCCACAAATCTTAAAGTTGCCAAGGTTGGACACCCCTGCTGTAGGGTTTTCAACGGGCAGGCAGTTGGCAAGAAGAAATAAGACAAAAACCTCAAGGAGAGGAGCATCCGAGTGATGAATGCAATGGTAGTTTGAGTAAAAGCAGCCTTTTAGCTCTCTGAATTTAGTTTTTTTTAAAACAAAAAACAAAACAGGCCTTGCTACATCTAGATCAGTGTTTATGGCTATTATTATAATTCACATTGTATACAAAGTGGGGAATCTTCAACTTTGTTACCTGAACCATAGATTTTAGCATTTCTTTGGCTTTAAAAGTAACTGCTTTACCTGTATAGGCGTACTGCACTAATGCCCATAATGCATTGGGTTCCACCCCTTCCATTTTGATTTCTTCTTGTCTCGCCTCTCGGACGTCGTTAGTAAACATGGCTGCAAAGTAATCCGAGACAGAGGACAGCACCAACCTGGGCCCAGGTGAAACAGGAATTGGGGACAAGGGAGAAGGCAATTGGTGCCTGCGTTAATTTGACAGCCTGTTTATAAAAGCTTTTAAAATAACAATCCATACAAATGAAGCCCTCGGTGCCATCTTTATATTAAGTATGTGTCTGCGTGTGCGTGTATGTGTAGGGCAATGTATTTTTCTCTTGAGAGAGGCAGGGGTGGGATTCTACTGGTTAGGACCGGTTTGGGCGAACCAGATGTTACATCTAGTTCGCCGAACTGGTACTTCAACTGACCGGCTTGCCCCGCCCACCTCGCCCCTCCCAGGAGTCTCCAGGCGATGCAGGTAAGTGCAGGTTCTGCATGGAGGCTCTGGGAGGGAGAAAAACGGGCCTTCCAGAAGTCGCAAAACGGTCCTGTTTCCGGCTTCCAGAGAGCCTCCAGAGCCCGGGGGAGGCCGTTTTCACTGTCCTAGAGGCGTGTGGGAAGCCTCTGGACCCTTGGGAAGGCGAAAATGGACTCCCCCGGGCTCTGGCAGCCCTCTGGAAGCTAGAAACAGGAAATTCTGGTAGGCTACGCCCACCATGGCCACGCCCACTCATCAACCGGGCAGAGAACCGGTTGCTGGGATTGTTGAATCCCACCCCTGGGGAGAGGGCATCAGAATGTCATTCTGACATTTCACAGAAAAAAGCGAGAACGAAAGCTCTCTTCCTCTTCCCTTCCCTTCCCCCTTTTCTCCTCTCCTCCTCTTCTCATCTCATCTCATGTCTGTTTAGCCTTTTCTTTCTTTTAAAATTACCTAGAAAAGTTTGACACAAGGAAAGCCATGTATTCAGTATGCTCGCTCAGGGTCACCCATGTCTTGCTCACCTCCCAGGTCAGATTACTGCAACGCGCTCTGCATGGGGCTGGCCTTAAAGACTACCTGTACATTTCAACGGCCCCATAGCATGGCAGCGCGCACACAGTAATGGGTAGCCCTGAGTTTGCCCACGTAACGCCTTTGCTGGGAGAGCTGCAGTGGCTTCGTTTCTTTCTGGGTGCAATTCAAGGTGCTTTTGAAATTACCTTTAAAGCCCTCTACAGCACACAGCCAGGCTACCTGTGTCACCATCTTTCCCTAAGGATATCTACCCTGGTTTTTTCTTTGTGTTCACTTTAAGGATCTTCTGTATTAAGATGTGACTCCTACCCCAGTATTTCTTTGCTTTATCACATGTCCACCATAAATAATAAACAGCTCCTTCTTGGCTCTTACATTTCCAAGATTCATTTGAAGTACCTTTATACATTCTTGACAATTTATCTGGTGTTAGATACCAATGGTACATCAACGGTAGATCATATCAAGACGAATTCCTTGTGTGTCCAACCACACTTGGCCGATAAAGAATTCTATTCTCTATTCTATTCTATTTTGTAGGAATTTTCTTTTATCGTGTAATGTAAATTTTAAACCTTGCGCTTTCCCAGCCTTATGTTATAGCCAAATTTCTTTGCTTGCTGAATCATGCAGTGCTTCACATTCTCATTTTCCCAAAGTTCAATTTCAATACCATTTTGTAAAAACCTTAGCAGTAACACCTTCATAATTACCACCCATTACCATGGGGATCCTGCAATGGCTGCAAGTGTGAAAAAAATGGTCATAAGTCACTTCTTTCAGTGCTGTTACAACTTTGAACGGTCACTAAACAAGCTGTTGTAATTCGAGGACTACCTGTATTGCCATCTGATGGAAGCTAGAAAGGGGCCTTTTGTGACATCTCCTGCCCCATGGAACCTCCTGCCTCCTGAGGTTGGCTGGGCTCCGCTCTTTTAGTCTTCCCTAAAGCCTTAAGGACCTGGTTCCACCCAGCCTCCTGTGCTTGGAGATGAGATGATGGTATATTTGCATGAATTAGCACCAAGGTTTTGGTTTTTCCCCTGTTTTTAACGCTTTATAACTGAGTATGTTTTGCAATTTTCAAAACGAGTTTATAGGGAGCCACCCTGAGTTGCCTGAAAAATGAGCCACCATATTTGAAGGAGGGGTTCAAAGAGGCCATCGATGTCAAAATTGAACAGCCCTCTGTCAACAGAGGGGGAGGGATGCGACATCAACTATCTCCAGTCTGAAACCCAGTCCTTTCAGCTGTTCCAAGAAGGCTCCACACCCATTTGCACCACTCAGGTGACCCTGAGGACACAGATAAACCTCTGAGCGGCCTCAACGGCTCTCTAAAAACAATGCAAATGACCAGCTGTGTGCAAGGAGTATAAATCCTTCCATTCTCCACCATGCAGTCAGAGCTGAAGAAGCTTCTGGGATGAGAAGCAAAACGTTTTCAAAGAAAAAACAAGCGGACAATAATGAAATAAGTTAACAGAAATAAATGTACAAAAATGTCTTTTAAAAGGACAAAAGAGGGTTTTCTTTTAAATGAAAGATTTCTGAAACGGATAACAGTAGTCGCCATTATACAAAGAGCATTAACATTAACGATTTTGTTATGGTTTCAGAAAAATCAATAAGCCTTTAGGCTTTTCTGTTGACAGCTACCAACAACAGACAAGCACACAACAAAAAAGCCATCCTTGGAATCACTAAATGAGCATGCTTCAAATGAATTATTCAAATATTCAAATGTTTCCAGCTTAAGGGATTGAATGCACACGTACCTGTGTGCTGGAATCCGTCGATCGCCTGCCACTAATACCACATCGCATAGTTGCTTGTGCCTCAAGTAATTTTCCATTTTTTTAAACGTTTGCTCCGCATGGTTGAGTGCTTGAAAAAATTCATCAGACGTACAAGGCTCCATTGGACGACACGGCAGGTGAATCTCTCCGCTATGGGAAGTTCTGGAAATGCAAATGGATTAGAAAAAGGAATTTACAGGGCAGGTTTTAGACAAAAAGAGAATGCACTTCCTTCCTTCTCTGACAAAATGCAGGCTCTATCTCCTGACACTTTGTCAAAAGGACTGTTTTTTTTAAATTAGTCGTGGAACTGACGGGAAAAGCTTTCAAGATTCAAGGTCTTTAGGACATGCATTTTTGCATTCCCGCTCATCGATGCGCTGTGCGTGGATGGGAAGAACTGAAAATAACAGGACGGCATCTGGAGAGACTATGACAATTGTGTCAGAAGATGAAGTGCAAGGCTGTTTTTGCACCATAATACGTTTAGAGACTTGCTGATGGGGAGGAAGCAAAAAACACCAGCAGTTCAACTGCATGCAATCTCCAAAGGCCAAGAAACATTTCCTGAGCTCCAAACCTCTCCCTCAAGTCAACTGGAGAACCAGTGAAAGGGATATTTTGTGCCCAGGAAAGCAGTTCATCGCTCAGCAAGGTTGCAGTTAATGGTGCTCACGTTTATAGGATCCTAATTACGTTTCAAAATTAGCAGGCTACAATAAAGAAGATGTATAGGTGGATAGAAGGAAAAAGGCCGCAGCAGGTTCTCGTTTTATGTTCTCGCATCAGCCAGGAGGAAAGCAGAAAATGGTTCAGTTATTAGCAATGACCCAGCCAGAAAGTCTGCGAAATGAATGGAATGGAATGGAATGGAATGGAATGGAATGGAATGGAATGGAATGGAATAGAATAGAATAGAATAGAATAGAATAGAACGGAATAGAACGGAATAGAACAGAATTCTTTATTGGCCAAGTGTGATTGGACACACAAGGAATTTGTCTTTGGTGCATATGGTCTCAGTTTACATAAAGGAAAAAAAACATTCATCAAGAATCATAAGATACAACTCTTAGTGATAGTCATAGGTTACTAATAAGCAATCAATCATACTAGGAAACAAATAAAACAATACAAATTGTAAAGATACAAGCAACACGTTTATAGTCACATGTGGGAAGAGATAGGCACTAGGAAGTGTTATTATAATCTAGTAGTAGAGGAATAATAGTAATACAGTCTTAGTAAATAAGTTGTCAGTGTTGTGGGAATTAGTTGTTGCAGAGTTTTACAGATATCGGAAGGAGGGAAGGATGAGTCAACCTTGAACCGGTCAGGATCAAACTCCTGGCAGAGGGCAGAGTCAGCCTGCAATACTGCACTCTAACCACTGTGCTACCACAGCTCTATAAATTATGTGGCATTCATAATATACCCATGAATATCACATAATACAGGTAGTTCTCAACTTTTCTCAACGACAATAGAGCTTAACTATTGGGTGCCCCAGAAGAACCTCTCTGCAGGAAACAAGATTTTTCTTTAAATCATTCATTTTGCTATCTTGGTATTATTTGTATAGAAATAGACTATCTCTCCGTAACAACCCTAAACAGACATATTTAAGAGTGCACTAAAATCTAATAAATGCAACACAATATATTTATGCCTGCCATTAGCATTAAACGTGGAAATGATCAGAAGAATTAGGACAGGTAGTCCTCGATTTACAACCGTATATTTAGTGATCATTCAAAGTTACTTAGCACTGAAAAAAGTGACTTATGACTGTTTTTCACAGTTACGACTTTTGTGGCATCGCCATGTTCCTGTGATCAAAATTCATTTGCTTGGCAACTGATTCATACTTATGACTGTCGCTGTGTTCTAGTTGGGTTCAACTGTGGCCATAAGTTGAGGACTACCTGTAATTTATTGATGTGCAAAAGAAAATAACTTTCCGCTCAACAGAAATGTCTAATTGCTGTACGTTTGTAATTTTCGACAATGTTCACTGCATAAAGAGATCAGCATGTTACGATAATGGCTTTGCCCTCTTTTTAAACCACCAGTTCTTGGCAAAATATTAATATTTGCACGATTAAGAAGAACAAAGTGGGTGTAACACATTTTAATTCATGCACTGAGCTCTAAATAATTAATCTGTTCAGTGTTCAAACTGCATTCTAATGATAGCAATACTGTCCATCTGTTAGCCAAGTTTTAAAGGTAAATCAAAATATAACACCTTTCAGCCGTCATGCATCTGTATCATATACAATGAGCAAAAATAAAAATGTACATTTTCTCTATAAAAATAGAATTAAAATAAAGTATAGTACTAGTATGCAAATATACTCGGATAACGGACTTCAAATGCAATTCTTTGTACATGTGTTCGGAAAGAAAACTATTTAGCCCAATGAGGCAAACTCTCAGGTAAAGGTGCATACTACAGCCACATAAAGTTACACCATTTTTTTAAAAATAAATGACAAAGAAAACTCCAGCTAAATTCTCTATAATGTGATTTCTAATCTGGATTCATCTAACCTGCTTCAGCAGAAGTCTGAAATAAATCCTATATTACGTTCCTATTCTAAAACCCAGCAAGGACACTAAAAAGGAATAATCATAAATATCGATCCAGATTACAATTAAACCAAACAATAAAAAATAGACTTAACAGGGAAAATATCTGGCTGCTAATTCTAGCCCTCTTGCTTTCTAAAATCCTACACATTCAACTTAGCCCCTTTTCAAGGCATTTTGAATACAGATTAGCCATTACTCATCTGTATTTACTCAGGCAGATTACTTATTAAAATGTAAAAAAAATCACATTTTTAAAAGGCTACTGAGCTTCTGAACAATGATAAAGCACCACCTGCATGCAGTGAGGCTTGGTATTTTCTCTTCTTCAAGGGCTCCATCCTCAGCATCTGGAACCTCAAGCAGTTGTGGATCCTGGATGTTCTCCCTGGTGAACTCGAAGATGGGCACTTCCGATTTGGATGCCATTGGCCGGGAAAAGGAATCCGGCAAACCCGGTGGCTTGGACCTCTGGGAACCGACGGGTGCCAAAGACGGCGGCAAGCTGCTCTCATTCAGAAACTTTATCCCACCGGTAGCTGGGCGGTATCTTCTGTCCCAGCAGTCTGCTTCATGATCCACATTGGGATGAGGAGGGAGCTGCTGCTGGTGACCAAGCCGCCTCCATCTGAGCTTTAAAAGCTGCCTCACGTCAAAATCTCTACGCGAGCCAGACATCCTCGGCGAGAGCAAGCAATTGTCTAGGCAACAGGCACAACCTGCCGTGCACAAAAGGATTTGTGCAACCAACCAGGAGGAGAAAAACACATGGTCTGCCTGTACACAGCTCTTCTTTTTCCTTCCTACCTTCCTCTTCCTTTTCTTCCTTCTTTTCTTTCTCCCTCCCTTTTTTCCTTCCTTCCTTCTTCCCTTCCTCCCTTTTTTCCTTCCTCTCCTTCCTTCCCTCCCTTCTGCTCGCAACCAGCAGTCAGCATAAAGATTTGTGCAACCAACCAGGAAGAGAAAAACACATGGTCTGCCTGTACACAGCTTCCTTTCATTCCTTTTTTTCTTTTTCTCTTCCTTTCTTTCTCTTTCTTTCCTTCTTCCCCTTTTCTTTCTTTCTTTTCCCACTTCCTTCTTTCTTTTTCTTTTTCCTTCCTTTCTTCCTTCCTTCCTTCCTTCTTTTTCTTTTCTTCCTTCCTTTTTCTTTCTTTCTTTCCTCACTTTCTTCTTTTTCTTTCTTTCTTCTCTTTCTTTCCTTTCTTTTTTTCTTTTCCTCCTTTCCTCCCTCCCTCCCTCCTAAGATTGCATCTAGATATGTGTTATCAAAGTTAGGAAATCCTCTTAACAGGAGGAACGCATAATTGAAAGGAAATAATGAAATGAGAAAAATGCCCTGCTACTTTTATCAAGCTACACAAAAGACAGACACTGTGTTATGTTCTTGCCAGTGGTTTCACCCCCTTAAAATTAGCTTTAAGGAGTCCTAGTTTTAATTTATTTTAATTACACATGTTGAAGGGATGGGCTAGGGAGGCAGGGAGCTACAATTTTAAAAGCCAGCAAAACATTTTGCTTTTGTAAAGATCTTGCACATAATTTGAAATGAATTGATTGAAAGTTGAGAACTACCTGTACAAGAATCTTCTAAAGCTTTTGGGAACAGTTGACAAAAGAAACAACAGACCAAAAAGCCACACAGAAAGAAGATGGAAGCAAATACAGTACCTTATACAGAACACAGAATAACAGAGTTAGAAGGGACCTTGGAGGTCTTCTAGCCCACCCCCCTGCTTAGGCAGGAAACCCTTTACCATTTCAGACAAATGGTTGTCCAATCTCTTCCTAAAAACTTCCAGTGTTGGAGCATTCAGAACTTCTGGAGGCAAGTTGTTCCACGGATTAACTGTTCTAACTGTCAGGAAATTTTCTCCTTAGTTCTAGGTTGCTTCTCTCCTTGAGGAGCTTCCATCCTTTGCTTCTTGTCAGGTTGGCTGACTCCTTGCCAACAAATCTATTTACTAACCTCTCTGGTGGGCCTGTGGTATTCTCCTGGGAAGCTCCTTTAGCTTTCTCCTGAAGTTTCCTTCAAAGAAGACCTCCTCCCTGTGGCCCAAGCTCTGAAGGAATAGGCTGAGAGGCTTTTGGAGAAGACTGAAGTGAGGCACTGAACCGCCTTTGATTTTTGCATCACAAACTGGCTTCAAAAGAAAGTTTTCTTGACGCAAAGCAGATCTCCAAAGCTTCATAGTGCCCAAATGTTCTATGTCCAATCCGGCAAACATCCAAACTATATCACTGTTACTTTAAACCAAGGATACAGAATCTCTCTACAGCAGGATCTCTTTGCCAAAAACTGAGATATAAACTAACTTTTATCAATAGAAGAGAATATACATGGCCCAGGATCCAACTGAGAAGTCCTTGGTCCTCTCCCAGCCTGGTATTTTGCTTGCAAACATCTTGTTTGCAACTAATAAAATATAAAGTAAGCTTATATTTAAGCTAAATAAAATATAAGGTAAAATATCAACTATAAACTAAATAAAAGCCAAGTATACTTTAATTCAAATTACCTTTAGTAAAAAATCAAATTAGCTAAATATTTCTGAAAATAATACTCCCTCTTTAATGCGAGAGGATACATTTACGTTTGTGTCTATTCACGTAAAAATGTTATGGCTTATTTCCTTTGAGAGTTTCTCACAAGACTGAATTTTCAGAACAGCAATGCCTATTAAAAAGTAACATTCAAACAGCAATTAAAATCTGCATTTTAGCCAAAACAACTTTCTACTCAAACATTTTCCGTAACTAATCAGTCCGTCACAAACACTCCTAAAAAGTATTGAGGCAAATTTCGAACAGATTAATATCTTCCATGTGTTTTCATTTCATAAGTGCAGATTTATTTTGGACTAGTCATCATGTTTTACAAAGATTGCATCATTTCATACAATAGTGGGTTTTGGGGATCAAGGCTTGGCCTGCACATAGCTGCCATATGCAATTTTCTCAGTTCATTCAAGGTAATTTATTTCAGACTTCATGATCAAAAACATATTTACTTGACTACGAATTCCAAAACAAAAAAAAAATCCCAACCCCAAAAGTACAAGTTAGATGCAATTAAACATATTTAAATTGAGCAATTATATGTTCTATTTACCATAAGTCAAGACAACTGTGTCATATATTGTTCCACATTGCTAAACAAATTAGGGTATAACTATGAATTAGGATATAACCAGAGGCCATAAAATGTATTTCATCCTCAGATTTATGACACGCTAGTTAGCAGAAATATGGGAAGACATAACATTATTGCACATCTTTAAATGTTTAGTATAGTTTACCGTCAGGCATTGCAACCCAGAATTTGGAACCGACATTAAAGTCTTCATGGAATCTTACTTATGGTTATTCAAGAGATATATTTGTGCTTCAAATCAACCTAAATCTAAATTCACACAGGGGCATTTTTAGTAGCATTTTTCTACGGCCTTCTTATAGCTGAGAGAAAGTGACTGATCAGAATCAATCCTGGCTCTGTGTCTAACGTAGGACTAAAACTCACCACTTCCTGTTTTCTAGCTTGGTGCTTTTATTAATTTTTAATTTTTGTTATTAGCTTTCTGTTCAACGGATGAAGGTATGATAAGAATAATACCAATCAAGAATTATATCCTATTGCTAAGTTCCAGATAAAAATGGATAAACCTGAAAAGAACCTATAGAAACAAAACAAAACCAAAATCTTAGTTTGACTAAAGTAGCAGTATTCTAGTGCTGGTATTTGAGAGGCTGCCACAAAGAGGAGGTGGTCAACTCATTCTCCAAAGCACAAGAAAGCAAGATAAGAAGCAACGGATGGAAACTAACCAAGAAGAGAAGCAACCTGGAATTAAGAAGAAACCTTCTAACAGTGAGGATGATTCACCCGTGGAACTGCTGGCCTCCAGAAGTTGCTTCATCACTGGAAGTTTTTAAGAAGGGACTGGACAGTCACGTGTTTCAAATGGTACAGGGTCTTTTGCTTGAGCAGGGGGTTGGACTAGAAGACCTCCAAGGTCCCTTCCAGCTCTTTCTGATTGATTGATTGTTAAGAGTTGAGCCTTCTTAATATTAAATACTGGGACAAATGCAGGATTGGTATGGAATACTCAACACAACACAAATAACTGCTTCTGACCCACTTTACACAAGCATAAAGCAGAATATCTCTGGATTTAAAAGGACTACAAGTTACCTTTTTTGAGTTTTCCATTATAAATCAGAGATGTAAAACGTTTTTAGACTGCAACATTCACTTATGTGGGTGGGTGTGAGTTCCAATAAACTCAATAGGATGTACTGTTGAACAGAGCGCAAAGCATTGCACCGTTACTCTAATATTCAATCATCCTCTCTGTGCATCCTTAACTAAACCCCCTGCCTGAAGAAAGACAGTTGAAATCTAAAAGTATACATGTCACACAGCTCCTTCCCTGGCATTCAGCCTTGTACAATCTGAGCCTATCATTCCTGACAGAGTGAAATAAAAGGAGGAGGAGCAAGTAAAAGGATCCCCACTGTAACGTTTTGCCCAGATTCTGCAAAGTAATGGTTTATTCATTTTTAATTACTTTCATGCCACAATTAAAATTGCTTCTCCAAATTGCAGTTGCAAGACTCAATCCAAATGAGAGCTGCTCTGGATGCAAACTTTTTTTTTCTTTTTCTTTCTCTTTTCTCTCCTCTTTCTTTTCTTTCTTTCACTTTCTCTTTCTTTCTTTCTTTCCTTCCCTTCCTTCCCCCCTCCCCTCCCTCTTTCATTTATTGACCACCCATCTTACCACGAGGTGACTCTGGGTGGCTTACAATACAGTTCATTTAGTGACCATTCAAAGTTAAAACAGCACTGAAAAAAGTAACTTATGACAGTTTTTCACAATTATGACCTCAGCAGCATCCCCATGGTCACGTGATCCAAATTCAGATGCTCATGACCGTTGCTGTGTCCCATGATCACTCAATCCCCTTTTGTGACCTTCTGATGAGCAGCCTCAAAGGGAAAATCCAGATTCACTTCACAACGTTCTTACTAACTTATCCACTGTGGTGATTCACTTGAGCAACGGAGCCAAGGAAGGTCGTAAAATAGGGCAAAGCTCACTTAACAAATGTCTCGCTTAACCACAGAAATCTGGAGCTGAAATATGGTCATTAAGTCAAGGACTACCTGTATTATAAAGCTTATAATACTTGCAGATTCTCCATTGATTTAACCATCCACAAATCATAATCCAACCTTGACTTAGGCAGAGCCTGTCAGTCTGTGTGTGTGTGTGTGTGCACACACTAAATGACTCCTATCGTTTGCTTATCCTGTCATTTGCATCTCTACCAAAGGGGGGAAAAAACTAAATTTAATGGTGCAATATGGAAAGGCATAGTTAGTAAAGGCATAACTGCCTCCCCCGATGCTTTATTTCTTCTTTTCTTGTATTTATTTTGGAGTGTTTTCTATTCTAGAGAGTAGTGGTAAGGTTCAGTGATTGAGGGTCCAGACCACAGGAAATTGTTGTTATTAAACCCCGAAGCCCAAACCGATACCGTCTGGGAAAGCATAGCCCAGTCTGTTCCTGTTCCAGTCTTCATCCTGTATCCATGAATTTATTTTATTTTATTTTGTTTTTTTTTCTTTTATTCCATTAATTCCGCATAGGTTAAGCCTACCCTTTTAAGACAATACTCACCAGAAGCAGCTTATAATGCTAATTACTGGTATCAAAATGCTGGAAAATCGGATGGCATCCTGTTCAAGCTTTCCTGGAGGACGGGCAGCTTCAAGATGGACAAGACGATTCA